CTTCATGAATAAAACACTGAAATATCTCACGCACAGCAAAAAAAATCTTACAATATCTGAAAACAGTCACTTTAGTATGCACCAAATTGCACAAATTGAAGTTATAAAATGCAAAAGCTCCCTACCGTGGGAGGGGGGAAACCCCCTCCCCCCTTGGTTGCTTCGCTCCCTCACATCTCACTCTCACCTATCACCCAATGTTGGCAGCCCTGATGTTCACGATGTAGTGATACCATGAACATATCTATAGAATATATACCTGTATATTTCATAGATAGGTTTATGAAAATATTTGCATATTGATACAGTAGGATGTTGAGTATACTATGTATTGTATAGCGCATAGTCTAGAGTACCAACCAAAATAGTATATAGTATACTAGTACTGTAATGATATCCCCATGCTTCCAACTTTTCAGAGCATATTACATTACAACTGCTATTTTTCTTATATAATTGTATTACCACGCAGTCACTTCACAAAATTGGTCAGGCACACATGTAACAAACATAACAGTTATAAATCTTAATTGCAGTAATTTCTTTGGTGAATGAGGCCGATGTAGAATATAAAAGAATAGAAGAAAGAAAAGAAAGAATACACAGACGAGAGCAAATATAGGGCAGCACACACAGTCCCCAGCACTCACCGCTTGCGCATCAGCATCGATGGCGTCCAGTTTTAGCTCCCAACTACCTAAACTTGCACCGTCCTCACCACCAGATGGTGACACGTAGTCCTCATCGTCGGAGGTCAGCCCAAGCTCTTTATTCCTTCCAGCACCACAGGTGAACCTTCCTTGATTAGCTATTCCTTCCAGCACTATAAGCGACTCCGTCACCAGGTGTCTTCCCCTAGATCAGGTTAGTGAGGCTTCCTCCTTCAGGTGCCTTCCCCTAAACCAGGTTAGTGAGTCTTCCTTCACCAGGTGTCTTCCCCTGAACCATGTTAGTAAGTCTTCCTTCACCAGGTGTCTTCCCCTAGAAGAGGTTAGTGAGTCTTCCTTCACCAGGTGTCTTCCCCTGGAACAGGTTAGTTAGTCTTCATTCACCAGTTGTCTTCCCCTTGAACAGGTTAGTTAGTCTTCCTTCACCAGTTGTCTTCCCCTAGAACAGGTTAGTTAGTCTTCCTTCCCCAGGATTTTCTGCCCCATATGAGATATTCTCTAGATGAGCAGTCGCGACCTTCCTTTACCAGGTTAGTGAGTTCCTTCCCCGGCTTTCCCTTCCTCGTCGAGCCAGACCTCCACTGCCGGCAGGTAAACCTGTTCTTGACCAGGTGAGTGGGTTTCTCTCGCTACAGCCCATGTCTTCACAAGAGCTGTGGCAGTGGGTTCACCTCAGCTACGGCGCCTAATCAAGGAGGGCTCACCTGTGGTGCTGGAAAGAATACCTAATCAAGGAGGGCTCACCTGTAGTGCTGGAAAGAATACCTAATCAAGGAGGGCTCACCTGTAGTGCTGGAAGGAATACCTAATCAAGGAGGGCTCACCTGTGGTGCTGGAAAGAATACCTAATCAAGGAGGGCTCACCTGTGGTGCTGGAAAGAATACCTAATCAAGGAGGGCTCACCTGTAGTGCTGGAAGGAATAGCTAATCAAGGAAGGCTCACCTGTGGTGCTGGAAGGAACACCTAATCAAGGAGGGCTCATCTGTGGTGCTAGAAGGAATACCTAATCAAGCAGGGCTCACCTGTGGTGCTGGAAGGAATAGCTAATCAAGCAGGGCTAACCTGTGGTGCTAGAAGGAATACATGAGGAATGGTTACCTGATTAGGTGGAAATCTCATCAGGTGTCAGGAAGAGCTTCCTTGTTGTGGAGGAAGGTTTACCCAGACTAGGCAGACTCACCTGGTATGGAGGTAGGCTGACCTGGTATGGAGGTAGGCACACGGTATGGAGGCAGGCTAGACAGGCCTCAGAGGAGAGCTTACCTGGTATAGGAAGGCACACCTGGTACAGAGGAAGGCTCGACAGGTGTCGAGAGAGATCTTACCTGGTCTAGGAAGGCACACCTGGTACAGTGGAAGGCTCGACAGGTGTCGAGAGATAACTTACCTGGTCTAGGAAGGCTCGACAGGTGTCAGTGGAGAGCTTAGCTGGTCTAGGAAGGCACACCTGGTCTAGGGAGGCTCGACAGGTGTCAGTGGAGAGCTTACCTGGTCTAGGAAGGCGCACCTGGTACAGAAAAAAAGCACACCTGATCTAGGAAGGCTAGGTATCAGTGGAAAGCTTACTTGGTCTAGGAAGGCTCACCTGGTCTAGGAAGGCTCAACAGGAGTCAGTGGAAAGCTCATCTAGTCAACAAAAGCACACCTGGTCTAGGAAGGTACACCTGGTCAAGGAAGGTACACCTGACACGGATCAGAGTTTGACAGGTGTTGGCGGGAGACATTACCTGGTCAAGGAAGGTACACCTGGTCTAGGAAGGCACACCTGGTCTAGGAAGGCACACCTGGTACGGAGGAAGGCTCGTTAGGTGTCGGGGGAGACCTTACCTGCTCGAGGAGCGCGTTCTGCCAGACACGGAACAGCATCAGGTAGGTCTTGTCGCGCGCGGCGAACGATGTGAAGAAGAACTTGTCCTCCGGCGTGCAGATCTGGATCGCGTTCGGTATGACGCGCGCCGTCTTCTCCTTCGTCATCGCCTGGATGTCCTTGTTCCTGATCGTCAGCTGCAAGTGAGCAAGGAGACGGCGACGGTGAGACACACGTCAACGCTGCGCGAAACCCGCACATGACGTCGCGAGGGGGGGAACGCGTCAAATTTTTACGCTTTTCATTGCGCCTACAATCGAATTCTCCCTCGACGAACCTTCATTTGTTAATTTTGCTGGACTTTAATACCCACTGTGAGCCTCGCCGCATTGATAATCCCAAATTTCTCAGATCCCACCCCGACACCTTTACACGTCCAGCGCTGCATTCTGTGACTCTTCCATAACCTAGCCCTGGGTGTCACTGAAGAGGAGGAGATAACCGTGTTTATACTCACTGTCGTCTCCCATCGGAATATGTTTGCGTAGAAGCAGATCCAGTTCTGTGAGACGTAGAGTCGGCCGTGCACTAGTATGTCCTTCTGAAGGGCGCACGAGTAATCTGAAAAAAATGGTCGCAGGAATATTAAAATTAAATAATTACGATCGTCGTCAGAATAGATTACAAAATGAACCGAGTCAGATAACAGCGCAAGTATCGTTTAACATAATAACTTAATGTTACACTAAAATTAGAATTATATTATATAAAGGTATGAAAAGTATAATTCATAACAATAATTAACAACAATAAAAATACGATTAAAATTATATATAATAATACAATTATATAACTTCAATATAATTAAAAAATTAGTGAAAAATACTGAAAAATTCGACCGAGGATGAAATCCAATTATGTCTAATCTTTAATTTTGTCGCCGCTCAGGCGAGTTCGTGCCGCGCGGTTTTGGACGAGCGCGCGCGGCTGTTCCTAGGTCCCTCGCTGCTTGATCGCGGGATGCTGGCCAGCTACCAATGGCGACCACAGTGATGCTGTGTGGGAGACGAGGCGGGAACGATGTTACGTGCGCGCGAGTGGATGTCTCACAAAAATTTGCAATGGAGCTGTACATGGAGCCGGTGGGGTGGGGTGGGGTCTGCGTTTCAAGGCAGTGATGACAGGGGATATCATGACGATGGAAAACACACCGCGAGGTTGCATGCGCATGCTACGATGTTTGCAATACTACCAACGACGTTACGTCATGGAGGGAGTAGGGTCATGGAAGGAGGGGGAGGCAGGAAGGGAGGGAGGAAAGGCAGAAAGCGTGAGAAGGGAAGTAAAATGAGAAGAGAGAGAGAATGCAAGATAGAGGCAGAGGTGGGGGGAGAGAGAAAGATAGGGAGAGAGAGAGAGAGAGAGAGAGAGAGAGAGAGAGAGAGAGCGTGCGAGCATGAGAAGGTGAGAAAGAGAGAGAGAAATCATGAGTGAGAGAGACAAAGAAAGAGAAACCGTGAGAGAGAGCACGCAAGCACGTGAGTGAGAGAGCAAGCATGAGAAGGAGAGAGAAAGAGAGACAACGCATGAGAAAGAGGGAGGGAGCAAGCATGAGAGAGATCGGTGGAGAATAAGAGCGCGGAGGCGTCTGCAGTGCGCACCACTCACTCACCGACAAGCAGACGCTCTGTGTCCGGCAGATCCTTGAACAACTTCTTGAAATCCTCCGTCCTGGACTTGTACGTCGGACTGAGGACCTGCGAAACAGACGAAGAAATCACACCATTAACGAGACGCCTGCTGATTAGCACTACTGCAATGACAACAGATTTAGAATCTCTGAATTTCGCTGACAGTGACAGAATCCGCGTGTTTTGCTGCACTGACAGTGTTATAATATACAGTCCGACATCCTTTATCCGGCCATCCGTTATCCAGAAATCTCTATTAACCGGCTGCGATCTCGCAGTGTAAGGTCTCTGTTTTTCATTAATTTCCACCTAAAAATCTCGCTCAAAACTCGCGCGATGTACCAACCGTACGTGTGTTTGCGTGTGTGTGTGCGCGCGCGTGTGTGTGTGTTGTCCGCTCGTGTCTGCTATGCCTCCGGTAAAGTTTTATTTCATTTTATTTCCATTTCATATAAACCATAAAACACGACAGTTTGTTACAAATAATCATAGCAACGAGTAAATACATTATCACATGCATAAACCCTACTGAACTGCATAGAAATGCTGTGTTTGAGCATAACTCTCATATCCGGCCAAATCCCATATCCGGATGGGTGCCGGTCCTGACGTGGCCGGATAAAGGAGGTCGGACTGTATAGGAATAGCTGCACTGACATAGTATTAGAATATCTGGCATTTGCTGCAGTACACAGTTTCATAATCGCTGAATAATTAGTGATCGCCTGAGCTTGTTGCGTGAACAGAGCTGCTCTCAGATGCTCGTCACGCCTCCCCGCGCTCTTTCAATCACGCGCCGAGCAACCTGTGGAACGCACACACATACAGCAATGCCAATGAACACACGTGCACACGCGGTCATGATAATGCTAGCTCCAAGAAACGGTATTGCTAGGGTTAGAATACCCTATTGTATTGACGTTAGTCACACAGCCTGGCCGGGTTAGACAATGCCCTGGAAAACCAGCAAGTACGTACGGAGCGGAAAAATCACCAGGAACAATAGAGCATTTCAAGAACGTCGCTACGGCGTCGCGCGACTCTACTGGCACCGCCTTCTCTAGCGTGAGGTCAAACTGTGACCGTTCCAACGCAAAGACACCAACTCCCAATCTCTTGCGCTTGCGATGCACGCAAGGCACTACACTAAATACTGACCGAGTGAGATGAAGGCGCGCAGCGCAGGCGCCTAGCAAACAGACACTGGCATGCACACAGTGATAAAGGATGTAGTGATCCTAGTACGACGTTCGCCGGCCGCAAATTACCAGTACCATGAACACATGTAACCGTACCGTTACCGTAACCGTATGACGTTGTTATACACACGCACGCACGCACGCACGCACGCACACACATACACACACACATACATATTTATATAATGCTTTTGATGAAATATATGCCAGTGCACAGATACATCTGTTCATGTCCGTACTATGGTCGCATCTTGAACTCACTCACTCACTATGCTGCTATACCATGCTGCTGCTGTACGCGAGAGAACGGACGCGCACGCACAGACACAAACCTGATCAAAGACGTCCATCATGGCTCGATGACACGACCGAGGCGGCGGTGGCGACAACAACAGTAGATAACGTACGCGTAGATAATAACCAAATAACACACACGCAACACACGCAGCTGCGAGTCACGGATCCGGAGCCGCCAGCCGCCGGTCTGATGTGTGACGCAGCAGACCTAGATAGATGAAAGATGTAGCAGGACGAGAGAGAGAGAGAGAGAGCCGCGGGCGTCGACTAGGAAGTGGAGTAGTGAGATGAGACCACAAACACACTGCAGACACTGCAACCACCACCACCACCACCACCACTAGAACAGCGACGCTGATCGTGACACCCTCGTTAACCAGCCAAGCATTGCCGATTTGACAACTGCTTTCACCGAGCAAGCAAAAGAGCAGCCGTGCCCTCTATACAGTCTCTCTCTCTCTCTCAAGTAGCCGGAGAGCAGCCTGTGATGTAAGGTGTCTATATATAGAAACACCCCGGCCCTCCCAGCAGAGCAGTATCTTCCAAGGAGGACCGCATACATACAACCAAGATACAACATCTGTGCGAGTGTGTACGCACGAACGTGCGTGCGCACGTTCGTTGCATGTGTGTGTGTGTGCGTGCGCGCGCGCGCGTGTGTGTGTGTGTGTGTGCGCGCGCGCGTGCATGAGTGCGTACGTGCGTGTGTGCGTGTGTGCGTACGTGCGTGTGTGGGTGCATGAGTGCGTACGTGCATTTAGTTTATGTTTTTCGCTTGCGTACGTGCCTGCGTGCTTGCGTGCTTCCGCGTATGTTCAGTCGCGCGTGCAGGAACACGGGAGTTTAGCCGGAGACTAAAAGCGTCATCTGATAAGCGTCTGCTGCTGCTGCTAGTTGAAACTAGCTCATCAAACGCAGCCATCAGTCAACAGCAACACCACAGAACAATGGTTCGCCACCGCGCCGTGCCTGGCTGAATCAATACATAGCTTACAAGCGACAAGTACAAAGAGACCTATTCTATGCGCCCAGCACTCAGATAGACTTATTAGGGTAGCACTCAGCTAGTGATCTTGTGGGAAGAGGGTACGATAGTGCATAGTGGGTGTACGGATGAGTGTGTATGTACCGGGGGGGGGGGAGTACGCTATAAATACGCAGCCACAAATTTTAGATCAATGGAGGGGCATCACTAGTATGTCTGCCCCCCCCCCGTTCACACACATATCTACGTTTGGTTTTCAGCGACAAAGAGCATTAAAAAAAGACAATTTTACGTATTACAGGCAAAAGACTGCTATACTAAGTTTAATACTAAGTCTATTATATACCAAGTTTATATGCTATTGATGGCGCATGATCAAAATTATTGGTAAAATCGAAAACCAACCGCAAATCGGATAAAACACATTATAAATAAAAACTAAATATCAAAAACCATTTAACTTGGTGCTGATAATTAGTTGTGCCACAAGGTTAGTGACTTTTGCGGACGAACACGGACGCAACCACTATGTGCATGAAGGTAAGCAGGTTTTTTGCTGCTGCGCACTGCACTTGTACATACGTCACAAAGTACAGACTCAACATTACAACAAATACACCCAAACTTGTATACAATGGTCAGTGGTCACTCAAAAGCAAACCCAATAAGGCACCCTTTACTGACCGTTCTATAGAGGTGTCCGTTTACAACGAGTTGAATGTATCTTCTAACCCAAATTAACAACGAACTAATGCAAAGTTTTATCTACAAGAATCCCACCCGCGGATGTATACTCATCAACAGCGCACACGCACACGCACACGCAAGCACGCGCACGAGTGCACGCATGCACGCAGATACACGTATAAGCTATTCACGGCTCCGTCGCATCCATCACACCAGAAGTAGGGGGAATTCCCTATTATCTACTTCTGATCACACTGATTGCTGCTTGATATTGATGTTTGGGAATCCCTCAGCAACAGCAGCGGCGCCAGTGCCACCGTGCTCGATGTTGTTATGTGGCGCCATCTACCGCGATAATACACTTCTAATGAATATGCGCAAGTGTTAGAACGATTCAAATGGCAGAAAATTTTAATTGCGCTATTAAACATATGCCACTAGCTACTACAAATACTCGATTACATAATTACAGCAGGGGGTTAAAGCGCAAAATCTGTTGTCTCATGGCAAATACAATGTTGCGATAAACATTTAGTTAAAACGAAACCGAGTTTTAGCTCTGTTTATATTTGTACGCTCCCCTCGTGGCGCGAGTCCGATGCGTATGAAACCTAAAGCTATTTATATCTTAGCAAAGGTCGTCGGATTGCCTCGTATATGACAAAATTTGATATTAATAAATTTATTAATAAAGGCACGAGTCCAGCGCGTCGACGGTCATATATTTCTTAATGTGAACCCAACTATATATATAAGGTTCAGTAAAAAACCAATAAACAAATCTTACAACATAATTATTTACTTTAATACATTTAGGCTATTTTATCAGAGAAAATGTGTTTTTGTAAACTTTTGAAGCATAGTAAATTCAGTAAGAAATCAACGATTGAAAGGGGCGTGGCCATAAAATCGTGTAACGTGGATTTGGAATCTGTGTCTGAGCTTTTGTAATGGATGACCGGGGGATGACCGTACGCGTATCCACTGCGTATTATATATATAAAGTAATAAACCCATGTGCATTGATACATTCAATACATTTGAATTTTTCGTAAAATGACATTTCTTAGCATAATCACGGATAACGATTGATTTCTATATGCGATTTTGCTGGGACTCACTTCACTAGCGTGATGCATATGACATGCCTGCATTTCTTTTCATTGGGTAGAAATTCGAAAACTCGAACCTCTGTGGGTAACATTACTCCAACTGTGAGCAAATTAGTTTATTCATGCTTGCGATATAGGCCTAATATAAACGCCAGCAAGTTTAAAAGTCCAATCGATATTAGTGATTTCTTTTATGAAATTCATTTAATGAATGATCATTATTTTGCTCCTGATATAATAAATATAATATATATATATATAATATATAATAAGATAGATATATATTATTCAGCATAAATATC